TTATTTATATAGCACTTTTTACAATGCAGATTGTGTCAAAGCAGCTTTACAGTATTAAACAGGGAAGTGTGTCGTGTGTCATATATACAATAGTGTGTCATATTTGTAATTTATATTGATTTAAATGACCAGTTAAGCTCATTTCCATCCAAACTCTCATTACCATGATGCATTCATTTTATAAAAAAAATTATAATGATTTTAGGGTGAAATAAGATTTTGACATTTCTTTATATTTTTCATGATATTCTCCCACATAGATGTGAACATGCACTGACACAAATACACACCTGTAAGTTTGAATGTTTTAGAGGTAGCAGAAATGTGTGTGTGTGTGTGTTGGTATCAGCTCTTATCTAGCCATTATCTGACGGGTGTTTGATGGACTTGTAATCAGCAAATGTGTTTTCAGCCAATCTGTGTGTGTGTGTGTGTGTGTGTGTGTGTGTGTGTGTGTGGATGAGGGGTGTGAGGTGCCTTTGATGGTGTGATATACGCGCATGTGTGTTTGTGTGTGAGGGCGGCTGCCAGGGTCAGCTCTGTCCTGGGAAAGTTGAGCTCTCCATTTACATCAGCACATGTTGAGGCCTTCTGGGGGCTGCCTGAGCGCACGGGTGGACAGATGGTACCGGCTCATAGCTGCAGATTCACTGAGGAGGAGCTACACGAGCCTGATAAATGGAGGAGAAGAAAAGACGGGATCAGCTTGCTATTTTTCATCATAATCACTGAAAGTGTTGCGAATGTGAAGTAGAAATTAGGTCAAAACAGTCTTGTTTAAAAGGAAATGTAATATCAAATCACTGGTTTTGATAGCACAAGTAACAGTTTTTACACTTTTTGAGAGAAGCAACCTGCATGTTTTTTTTTACTTATTAATTCAATACAGTTAAACTTTAGACCAGGGCTGCCCAAACTCGGTCCTGGAGGGCCGGTGTCCTGCAGAGTTTAGCTCCAACTTGCCTCAACACACCTGCCTTTAAGTTTCTAGTATGCCTAGTAAGAGCTTGATTAGCTGCTTCAGGTGTGTTTAATTGGGGTTGGAGCTAAACTCTTCAGGACACCGGCCCTCCAGGACCGAGTTTGGGCAGCCCTGCTTTAGACCAAGACCAAGTCTTGGTTGCTCATAGTAATGGCCTGTCACATGTCAGCACATCCTTGACCTTTCACATCGTTCATCACGTGACCTCATATTTTATTCAGGAGATTTTTTTGCTTTTGGTCCATCCATCCATCTATCCATCCATCTATTCTGTCGTTCTATCTATCCATCCATCCATCTATCTGTTCTGTCGTTCTATCTATCTATCTAGTCTGTCGTTCTATCTATCTATCCATCCATCCATCCATCCATCCATCCTATCTATCTATCTATCTATCTACTGTATCTATCTATCTATCTATCCATCCATCTATCTGTCATTCTATCTATCCATCCATCCATCCATCTATCTATCTGTCGTTCTATCTATCTATCGTTCTATCTATCTATCTATCCATCCATCGATCTATTCTGTCATTCTATCTATCTGTCGTTCTATCTATCCATCCATCTATCTATTGTGTCGTTCTATCCATCCATCCATCCATCCATCCATCCATC